CCCACATTTGTGAAAGAAAAGCAAAACACTTTTGTCTGTAACAAAACCATAAAATCTGATAAAGGTTATTTAAATGCTGCAAAAGAAGAATGGATTGGAATAAAATAAAAAACATATCCTAACCGTAATTACTGGGGGAGAATAATGAGTGACGCTCATAGTGAGTAAAAAGTAAAATGAGTGCATTTTTTGGATAGAGATTCACTTTTAATGTGCATGTATAATATAATACAGATGCATAAAAAACACTCCCAAAACAGAATAAATTATTACAAATAAATTATTACAAAATATAAAAAAATATATATATATAAAGATGGAGGCAACTTTGCCTGTGGTAGAATGTATACAATGCATGAAAAAATCTTTACTGCAGATACTAATTTGACCAATTTAATAATACTAATTTTGTGTTAGATTCATAAGATTTATGAGTTTCATGCTTTCATAGTGGTCCTTAGGAGAGCTTGACATTTTTATCAGGTGGTACACACTGTAAAAAGTTTGAAAAACACTGATAAGGTAAGTGTGCTTTTGGAAAACATTTAAAGCTGCTTGCCCTGCCTTACCTCTCTGAGCTTCTTCATCCCCACATACCTTGTCGGTCTCTCAGGTCAGCTGACCAGCTGCTCCTGGAGATACCGAGATCCAGGAGGAAGCTCAGAGGGGACAGGGCTTTCTCTATTGTGGCTCCAAAATTATGGAATAATTTGCCCATGCACGTTAGAGAGGCCCCTTCACTGTCCAACCCCATCATTTAATTTGTTTTGATTGAAATTGAATATTACTTAAACTCTCTTAAATTAACTTCCAATAAAAAAGGTTTATCATTGATTGAAATTCATTCAGAAATGTTTAACGAATGAGCTGTCACAACTTTCAAATACAAAGTTGTTATGAAGTCTGTCACATTCCCCCCCTTTTTTTTCTTTTTTTATCCTTTATTTATTTATCTTTCTTATTTCATTGTACTGTATATTGTTACTCTTATTTGCCTTGTATGTCTACTGTACAAACTGAACTGGAATGACTGACTGTTCGCTTTATGACTTCAATAAAGTTTAGAAAAAACAACAACCTCTTCAGCCGCTCCCTTCTGCCGTATTTTGCGGCAAAATTATCCACACCCACCGCCGCACTATGAATCGTGTGATATGTGGGACCACGAAGCGTGCACCGGACCACGCTTGATATTTGGGGAAATCGACGGCGTATTTGGAGTATGCATTTGAAGCACACTTCGAATTGGGACAGCCGTCGTCGCGTGGCGGTGACGTAACCGCACTTAAAATGCATACTTCAAGCGTGCAGTCTCCTAGTTGCCAACACCTCCGCTCTGTTCACGTTTCCGTGTTCCCTCCCCTTCAGAGCTGCAGTTTGAAGATGGGTGTAGCCAACATGTGGTGACGTGTAGGAGCTGACAGGTCCCATTCGCTACAGAAACATGTTATTTAGATCAGAGCTCAGAGTAGTTTCATTTATAAGGAAGTGAAAGTAACAAAGCCACTGACACTGAGAGGAGAAATGGCACAGAAAGGAGTTCAGCTGGATCGAGAAACCTTTGCTTGTTCGATCTGTTTGGATCTACTGAAGGATCCGGTGACTATTCCCTGTGGACACAGCTACTGCATGAACTGTATTAAAAGCTTCTGGGATGAAGAGGAAAAGAAGAAAATCTACAGCTGCCCTCAGTGCAGACAGACTTTCACAGCGAGGCCTGTCCTGGTGAAAAACACCATGTTAGCAATTCTAGTTGAGCAGCTGAAGAAGACTGGACTCCAAGCTGCTCCTGCTGATCACTGCTATGCTGGACCTGAAGATGTGGCCTGTGATGTCTGCACTGGAAGAAGAATGAAAGCCTTCAAGTCCTGCCTTGTTTGTGTGATCTCTTACTGTGAACAACATGTTAGGCTTCATTATGAATGTCCTGC